CAAATTGGAATGTATCACAAAGGTCATCTATTCCAATCCTATGCAATGTGCAAAAAAACCTATTTAAACACGTCCAGCCTATTCTTAAAAACCTCCAGAGATGGAGAATCCAAGTCTCTATAGAAAGCTTAAACCTTTGCCTTCCTCCCATTCATCACATGAAAAATTCTTCCTAAAAATCTAGGCTTGATAGGCCATGCCATTTAGGGTTTACAGAAACTGGAACTGTTAAATTTGATTTCAAATTCCCTAAATCCAAAATGGCCTCCATTCAGATGCTGAGGCTAGTCTCTCATTAATGAATCTTATGTGATGTGGGAAGCTAATATTTCACAGTATGGTTCTTGTTACTGTTTTGTCATTTACATGGTAGGTACAGAATGCATTTTGATACAGATACATAGTTTACTGTAGAATATTTCACATCACCATTTCTTTCATGCTTAATTCTTCCTGAAAAGCAGAAAAATTGGTAGCTGTTACCATGTGTAGCCATATGACTAAACAATAAAAGAGCTCTTCCTATATTTATACATAAGAATAGCTTTCTAATGTCATTAACCAACACTTTCTCCAATATTGGATGACTATAATTTGCCTTTTGGTTTCTTCTAATCCCTTCTATCACCTATATAGGAAAGGCCCCAAACACAGACAAGCCGTGTTCATCTCCATTCACAAAATGTCTAGCAGTGGATGAGACGGAAGAAATAACCATCACTTTTCACATTATACTGAACGTTATTGTAAAGATCATAGTCCAGAATGAGGGGGTAAATAACCATCTCTTTTCACATTATACTGAATATTATTGTAAAGATCATAGTCCAGAGCGAGAGGGTAGTGATGTTTCTCTGAGAGAGGGAAGAACCATAGGCTTTGAAAAAGAAGTGGTACAACTTCTTTTGAGGAAGCCATCTCTTTATCTAGTTCTAGCCATTCTTGCAACTTTAACCCAGTGCCTGATCTTCCAGTTGTAACAAAATTGAGAAGCTATTTGGGAATCAGCTATTGTACAGAAGCTCATAATTTAAATTGGTTATCTGAAACCCTTTCAGTATGGATTCTGGCCTAGGCATGGAATACTCATTGATCACTAGGGTCGATGACTAGGGTCTAGAAGATGGGAATTTGCCACTCTTCTATTAGAAGTTCTATTAGACTTCTTAGCAGCTTTGTACTACCAAGCACGATACAAAGGGTTTAAATCCTAACAAGGAAAAGTTATTGTTTGTCCAGGAACACATTGACAGCCCCAGCAACTTCTCTGGACAAGACTAACATTCCCATTGAAGGAGCAGTTCTGCAATTTACAGGCCCTTCTGGATTCATGGGTCAAACTATGGTTGGAGGAGCTTTGCTCAGTTTATGTGGATCCACTAATTGTAACCCACCTGAACTATGAAATTCTGTTGACACACTGATTCATGCCTCCATCACACATACTTAAGACTTGTATGCTCTGTATTGGCCTGTCTCTGACAATATTCTAGAATCTATAGTTTGTACACAACCTGACAGAATGCCAGCATTGCTGAATAGGATGCTCCATTTGCTGCACTGCCAACAATAAAGTCTGAGGTCAAGTTAAAATGCTGGATTTGATCTCACCAGTCAGAAATGAAGAAGCTTCTTGGATGAAAAATGAAACATTAAAAAGAAATGAGAAAGTCTAGTTGCCTTTGGGAAGGCATCTTTGGAACAACCATGACCTGGATGATTGCCAATCTCCATAAATATTTGGAGTAGACTAACAGCATTATATGCATTTCCAGTTGGTGGGAAAATATCTAACCCTATTAGCATTTGTAAGATGACTTCTCACTCTTATTTAAAAACATCTAAATTATGCCTTTAGCGAAGTCATCGGTTGGTATATCTTAACTTTAGATCAACCAAGTAATGCCATCAAAGTTCCGTCTTCATGCCTGGACATTATCAGAGTCTGGATACAAAAGAGAATACTCAGGCTGAACTCTAGTAAGACAAATGGATTTTGGAGGTATTTAGATCTACATATATTTTATTGTTTCTGGATGGGGTTGCACTATTTAGAAGGAAGTGGTGCACAGTTTGGAAGTCCTAGATTCACAGCTTCTGTTCAAAGAGCAGGACACTGCTGTAACTACAGTTGTTATCACAAAGGCCTTTGACAGATCTATCTGGTTGCCAATATAAAATTGGGTACAGAAAAAAGAGAGAATTACCATAAAATAGCATCTCCCACCCCAAATTACTTACTTATTTACCTATTTATTAAATATGTTTGTACCCATCCCCCCACAAGATTCTTGAAGCTGTCCAAAAGGGTACCATGGTTGATGTTATCCAAAGCTGTTGAGAGATCAAGGAGCACAGGGATAGATTCATCATCAATATCTTGTCTCCACTGCAGATCATCAAGAAATCTGATTAATGGTATCTCCATACTGGCTTGAAACCTAACTTAAATGGGTCCAAATAACTCACTTTCTCCAGAATCCTCTGGAGTTGAAGCCCAACTATTCTCCCTTCCAACTTTCCTAAAAAGGGAAGGTTAGAGACTGGATAGTAGTTATTCATGACCAATGAGGCCAGCAATAGGTTCTTGAAGAGAAAATGCACCACAGCCTTCTTTGAAGCTAATGGAATCACTTTCTTACTGAAAGGCACTGACACCATTACATGGACCCAAATATAGGGCACCTTTCATGCAGTTCTCATTACCAGGAAGGACATAAATCTAACAAGCAGGTGATGAAGCTAACATTGTAGAATCCTCAGAAGCCACACAATCAAACTTAAATATAAGTAATCCTTGACTTATGACCAATTGGGACCAGAATTTTCATTGGTAAGCAATGTGGTTGTTAAATGAGTTGCACCTGACTTTACAACTTTGTGTGGACCAGTCATAAATCACTTTTGACACTCGCTTTATAATGTCAAGTTCATTTCACTTCATTTCCTGGAGTTCCTCAGAAAACTAAGACACTAATAAACTGAAAAGAAGCAAGAAAGTGATTACTATGTCCTCCAAAATCAGATCACATCTCAGCTGCCCTGAGGAAATGTGAGACCTCCAATATGTATCAGGCACATGATGACTTGAGACAAACCCATAGTTGCCAAGGAGGAGATGAACTCCCGAGTCACCTCAGACTCCACATTGCCAGGTGACAAATTGAAATCCCTGAGCAGCATAAGCCTTGGGATCTCAATACGCTTCAGTTAGTTCCCTAAAGATCAAGTTGTTGAGACGTTTACAAATTTGGAGCTCAGATGGCTCTACTCTAGCTGTATTTCTAAATTTGATAGAAAACACATAAGTCAGCAGTTAATGGGGGAAGTGGGGGAGCAAGCACAACTTGTAGCACAATTTTTCCAGGCTAAAACATTCTTGAACCCTGGCTATTTCCCACAGCTGCATCCATTAATGATTTTGACTTGTTTCAAGTTTGGTAATCATTTTCTTTTTCTAGAAAAATCATCCAATTTCAATGGTTGGTCAGATTGATTGTACTCTATCCCTTCTTTCTCATTATCCCAAAACAGAGCATATGCTACTTACAGTTCATTATAATAACCAACCTTGATGCTTCTCAGTGAGCAATGATGAAAGGATCTCCTTTTTGTGTCATACTGAAAGACCATTAGTTCAATAAGAAGTTCCATTACTAACCAACTCCATTATATAATTATAAAGGTGCCCTCAAGTCGAGTTCAACTTCTAACTGAAGTTCAACTTGCATCTGTTTAGTTTTCGTAGTAAAATTACACGGTGGTATGCCATTGTATTCTAGAATTATTTTAACTTCTCAGTCTGCTCAACACAGAGCTTCTGCATACATATCAATCAGAGATTTATGGCATTTTATTAAAGACTCATTCAAGGCACCACTATAACTTATGTACACAGTCATGGATAATTTAATATAACTCTTCTTTATAATATAGGCAGTCCTTGTTTAATGGACATTTGTTTAATGGACATTTGTTCAACAACTGCTCAAACTTGTTTCAGCACTTAATGAGTTGTACTTCCAATTAGTCCTCAAAGTTCCAGCAGTGCCTGGGGTCATGTGATCATGATCCAGGCACTTGACAAGTGATCCAGATTTCTGACATTCACATTATGCTGTAGTCACATAATCACAATTTCCAACCTTCCCTACCAGCTTCCTCCAAGCAAAGTCAGTAGGGAAGCCAGCAAGGTCAAAATCTGTGGTCATGTGAGGTTCTCACTTAACAACCTGCAATGATTTATTCAATGACAGTAACTGGGGATTGCCATAACTGATGTTGCTAACCATCGTGGTCACATGACATTGCTCTTCACAACAATATTGCTTAGCAATAGAAATTCATGTCTTAATTACCATTGTTAAGCAAGGACTACCTATATAATTGGATTCCAACATTGTTAATTATTACTTGCTTAATCATGGTTCATTGAATAGTTGGATTTGCACATTAGTCTAAGCCACGAATGCTTAGAATAGATCAATTGACTAAAAGGCATTAGTCATTATTAATCTGTAAATAAAACATTGGTTTTTAATAGGAATAAAATAACTAGTGGATAAGAAACTGTTTGGAATAGACTATAAAAAAGCAAATCTCAACTCCTTATGCTGACTAAAATATCATAACATTAATCTGGCATGTCTATTGCTCATTATGCAATATTTTGGGCTAGATTTATTTTTGTCATAATACATTATGTGAATTTTGACAGCTATATTAATTGAAAATTTTATAGGTAAATAAGTAAGCTTGTACACTCTTTTGTACACTAGTTGAGTAACTCCACGACAAGATAGGCGGCAAATATATTTTACAAATAAATAAAAGTTTTGTGTCTGGTTGCTTTTGCAATTTCCATTTATTTTAAGGGAACTCCTCAGGAGGAACTGAGTAATTTGTAGATATATTACCTATTTACAGAAAATCATACTCTCCAGAATTCAGAGCTTAAAAAACAGGGACACATCTGAGGGAATCTAACACCATTCTGAACATCTCTGAGCACTCTTTTTCTCAAGTCCATTATTTTAAATTGCTTCTGCAGGCCTTCACTTAAAAAAAAAAACAATGCACAGATTTACTATTCAAGAAGGGTGAAGATCAGCCTCCTGAAGCTAAATTTACTTTTGCATATATACGCATAGATCCTCACTGTGCTTATTATGGTGAAGATGGACAAAGGACTTTCTGTCAGCCACAACAGAAGCATAATTCACAAATGCCCTAAAATAGTTTGAAAAGAATGGCCCTAAGGATCACAGGCCAGTTTAATATTCTTTTAGTTGCCAGGAAATGGTTTGGATACTAAAGGGACTATCCTTTCCGTGTTTACTTGGCTTGAGAATCCCATCGCATGCTATGGGATTTATCCTGAATAAACACGCCTAGAGTCTCTCGGGTCATCTTGAGTTTATCCTAACTCGCCCAACGAAAACCAATTTCAGTCCACCCCATCCTCTGAAACCCAGGCCACGTATTTACGGTTGCCGCTCTAACTGGAGCCGTTCCGAAGAATCCGGGCCGGAGAAACACGTCGCGTTAATAACGTTCTTAAGGCCGAATTCAGGGACGGAGCAGTGGCTCCGATCCAGACGGACTTTCGGGGAAAATCCGACTCTCCGGGATTTGTCGCGTAACGAGAGGGGCGGGGCCACGCCGGGCTCAGCTCAGGGAAGTTGCTGAAGTTGGAGCGAACGAGGGCTGAGCCTGGCAAGCGCTTTGGTCGGGCGGCCGGGGCCTCGCCGTGGGCGTCTTCGGGTGGGCTTCTCCTTTCGGCTCGGGCGGTGCATGATGGAAGCAGCATGGCCACTCATTTCTCCCTGACCCAGGTAGGGGGCTTCCTGGCGAGGAAAAAGGCGCTGCAATGCGCGAGGGGGGAAGCAGAAGAAGAAGAAGGCGGGCAAGGCAGGGGCTGAGCTGGCCTCCTCTCGCGAGGAGCAGCGGGGGTCTCGCTTCCCAAGCGCTGGCGCAGAATCGCCGCCTTGCAACGTCGTCGTCGTCCGCTGCTTCCCCCTCCCGAGCTCTTTCCACCTTCGCGTCTCCCTATCCGGGCTGCTCGTGGAGGTCTTCCGGCCGGCTCTTTTCCCGTTCGCACGTTTGTCTTGCTCCCCCCCCCTCCGAGCGTTAATTGCATCTTTCCCGCTCTGGTCCCCGCGCCCCGCTACCTCGCCCTCGTCGTTTCTTCTTCCCTCGTTCGCCTTCCTTATCTCTTCCCTCACCTAACTCGGCTTGTAGTCGGAGAACCGAACGAAGCGCCCTCTTCGACGGTGTCGTGTGGACGCGCCTCTGCACCCCCCTCCCCTTTTCAGGCCCGTCCTCTCCGGCTGCTTGAAGTGAAGCCGACCTTCCAGAAAGCGCTTTTCAAAACCTCGGCTCCTTTAAAGGGCTGGAGAGGGAATCCTCTCTGCAATTCCTAAGCGGGCGTTCGTTTCTCTCTTCCTTTCCGGCGTCGATACTGTATTGGGTGTTAACCGTATCTCGTGTGCTCTCTCTGGGTGATTTTTTTTTAATGGGTAGTTCAATGGTTGCAGTTTCGGAGTCTTTCCAGTGCTGGGAATAGCATTTCTGACAACTGGATATTGCTGTATTTCTTCCATAGTCCATGGGACTGCTTTTCAGTTTCTGATCTGTTCTTATCAAGCCCTTCAGTTTCTTTGGAGAGACACACCCACGTTTAGGCCCATGTATTTCTATTCCACTTGGGCTTTTGGTGTGATTTCTGGGGTTGAAAAATGTTAAGATGTATTGCTCAGAAAGCATCTCATAAACAAAAGAGGTATGTTAAATAATAAATTAATGGAAGGGGAAACTTGGCTTCCTAATTGTAATTGGAGGACAGTAGCCTATTTTTCAAGGATTCTGTAACTAATGGCAAGTAAGAACAAACACTATTTTTAAAAAATTATTACTTTTGACTATAATCATTCTAGATGCTACTGGGTAATATAGAACTTCTGAGGGAAAATTCCAAATTGTGTTCCTAATTGTGTTCCTATTTTATATGCATATAAAGTAGGAATATGAATTCTTACTTTATATGCATAGAAATGAATCATGCATTTCAGAGTGGCTGATATATGAACACTTAACTTTTAGAAGGGGAGATCTAAAAGTTCTTAGTTACTGCATGAATCTGTAGTTCTTGGAGTCTTCAGCATATATCAGATTTACACTCCATCCTCTTACTGTGGGTTTAAGCAATCAAGGCAGTTTATATAAGATCACATAAGTTAGATGTTAGGTGAATTGTTTATTTGAAACATGTCCTCGGTGTTTATCATTAGGTGCTAGCACACGGAGCAATCAAATGAAATGTGAAACTGCTACTCTAACTTGAGAGCCAATTGGGTGTATGTAGTACAGGGGTCCCAAAACTTGGCAGTTTTAAGACTTGTGGATTTCAACTCCCAGAATTCCCATGTCTGTCTGGGGAATTCTGGGAGTTGAAGTCCATAAGTGAAGCTGCCAAGTTTGGAGACCCCTGACATGCATCAAGCTAAAACTGGGAAACAGGTTCTAGTCTGGCCTTAGGCACAAAGCCAGTTAGATTATTTGAGGCTTGTCACTTTCTCTTAGCTCTAGGGAGGAGGCAATAGCAAACCATTTCTGAAAATGTTTGCCAAGAAAACTGCAGGGATTTGCCCAGGCTGTGTTGAAGAATCAGATCCAATTGAATTGAAGAAAACGTCTACACTTGTTTATAAGAAAACTGCACAGATGCTGTCACCAGGATTTTAACTCAAAGGAGCTTTTACCGTGTTGATGAAATGGGAATTGAAATTAGGGAATGAATATACGAACAGAAGTGAAGCTAGTATAAAAATACAGCTGCAAAAAATAGTGTCATGTGGGCTACCATCTTACATCTCCCTCTCCCCATGTTTAACAGCTTATATAAGTTTAAATGTGATATGAAGACCTAAAGAGCCGCAATAGTCAGTTCCCAGGTATTGGAATTTAAAGCAACTGCAATTCAAATTCATGGTTAAGTGAATTTTGGTTTACAGAAGTAACCTAACTCCCAGGTTCACGCAAAATGCGGAACCAGACACAAGCATACTGAGTCACAAGTAGTCAAGTACCTATTTACCTAACATATTGTATATATTTGACATAATTCCGTTTTGAAAGTGAAAAAATGTTTTGCACTAATTATAACCAGAAAATCTTTAAACTATGATTCTCTTCAAAGCAGAAAGTCTTAAGGAAATAGAATGTGAATTGAAACAGTATTCAGTAAAAAGACTGATAAAGCTGTGCAACTGAGTTAAGGTATACCAATAGTTTAATACAACCGAAATAGCTATGTGCTTAAAACTTTATTGGGTGTGGATATGAATGTCACAATTTGGGAACTTTATTTACTTTTGAAACTCACTAAGGTGAAAATAAACATCTAACTCCAGTAAAACTCTTTACCCTGAAAGTATGCTCTTTACCCTGAAAACAAGTTTGCTTCTACTATGGCCCAATGTCACCTAAGTTCACTGTATCCATTGGTTAGAGGTTCATCCTTCAGATCAAAGCAGCCTTTGTTACATTTGGCTGTATATATTGATTTCTCTCTTATTATTTATTTCCACATTACCCTTTTTACAATATTATTGTGATGTGTAATCTATTATTCTCATTAATAAGCCCTGGCAGATGAAAAAAATATGTGTTTTTAATTGAATTGGGAAAATTCCCTTGAAGGAAAAATTGTAGTTGTAAAAATCGCAAGTCAAGAATTATTAGATTACTTTGTTTTCCAATGACATATTTAACATGAAATGCTGAAACTTGATATATGCTTTAGCATTTCACAATATGTTTCGTTTGTTCATTGCCTATATTGCAGTGATACAAAACTAAAAGTAATAGAAAACAGGCAAATATTTTTAAAACTCTTCTCGATTTTGTACTGCAATTTTGTAATTGCCCATCAAGCAAGTGAAGCATAAATACATTAGAACAAGAGAAAATCAGGTATAACAGCATTATACATTGTCTAAAGACTCGGAAATCAGTTTCAAAATTAGAAACTTTAGAAAATTGGTTATCAGTTAAATATTACTGGTGGTTGTATTTTCAGAGCAATATATTCAATAGATTCAGATTTACAGTGAATGCTGTCTACTCTTAGGTTCCCTTGAAGTATCAAGAAAGGAATGTTGCAGAGGGCTGTCGATTGAAACTCTTAGTTAACCAAATTGCAAATGTCATTAATTTAATTCTTACCTTTAGTTCTGCTGGGAGCATGATAAGTCATCACTCTTAGTAATGTCTTATTAAAAATTGGTTTGCATAAATAAGCTATGTAAGAGCAGAATTATTACTGCAGGTAAAGATCTCTTTTAATATGTATTTTCTGCAATAATTTCTGTTTCTGAAGAAATTGAAATAAATGGCCATTCGCTACAGTCTTTCAAAAAATAAAAACTTTGTTTCATTCGATCCCATACTAACTTAATTAGCAATCCAGTTTCATAAGTTTNGATAGATAGATAGATAGATAGATAGATAGATAGATAGATAGATAGATAGATAGATAGATAGATCCGTGTTTCCCTGAAAATAAGACAGGTTCTTATTTTCTTTTGCCCCACGAAATATGGCCTTGGACTTATTATAGGGGAGGGCTTATTATTTTCTGGGGCAGGTGAGAAGCGAGGCGCGCCTTTTACCTTTCCAGCTCCGTCGCATTCTTCGCCATTGTGCTCAGGGAAGCGGCTGGTAAAAAAAGAAAACCTCGTGAGTTCAATCAAACATCTTGAATTCGCAAGAAGGTTGGTTTTTTTTTTTTACAAGGGGCTTCCCTGAACATAATGGCGAGGAACGCAACGGAGCTGGAAAGGTAAGAGGCGCGCCTCGCGGCCCAACACCGCCCACCTCGCCCCAATGGTAAAGGCAGCCTGCCTGGTTCCCTTCCCCGCTGTCCCTTTAGCGAGGGGTGGCAGGGGAGGGAGAGAAGCGAGGCGCGCCCCTTACCTTTCCAGCTCCGTCGCGTTCCTCGCCCTTTCGCCCATTGAATCCCCTTGTAAAAAAACCTAATGAGTTCAACTTGTGAGGTTTTTTTTACAAGGGGATTCAATGGGTGAAAGAGCGAGGAACGCGACGGAGCTGGAAAGGTAAGAGGCGCGCCTCACCGCCCAACACCACCCACCTCGCCCCAGTGGTAAAGGCAGCCTGCCTGGTTCACTTCCCCACTGTCCCTTTAGCGAGGGGTGGCAGGCGGGGAAGGGAACCTGGCAGGCTGCCTTTACCATTGGGGTGGGAGGTGTTTTTTTGTGCGAGAAGGAACAGGGGGGAGGGGGTGATTGCTGTTTTTGCGGCGGGCTCTTTTTGAGCGGGAAGGAAGGACGGGGGGTGGAAGCACTTTGCTTTGCCTGCCGCTGTTTTGCGTGGGAGGGAAGGGCGGGAGGTGGAAGCACTTTGCTTCGCCTGCTGCTGTTTTTGCGGCGAACCCTCTTTTTGCCCCGTAAGCTGTACCGGTAGGTGGTACAGTGATAATGGCGGGGACCGGTTGCGCATGTGCTTAAATAGTTGGGGGCGGGGTCTCTATTTTCAGGGGAGGGCTTATTATGGCGCATGCGCTGAAAAGCCCAATTGGGCTTATTAGCAGGGCATATCTTATTTTCGGGGAATCACGGTAGATAGATTATGGATGGATGGATGGATGGATGGATGGATTGATTTCCACTGATTAAAGATATATATGTAAATATAAAATATATATGAGAATGTATAGATAATATTATTATAAAATGGAATTAATCAGTGGAACAACTGGCTTCCAGAAGTTGTGGGTGCTCCACTTGTCCAATCTTTTAAAGAAGAGATTGGATAA